CTACCAAGCAAGATGTCCTTTTACAGGAGGTGGTCTCTCCTAATAACACATCCAAAATATGTGAGACAAAGTCTCCCCATCCTTGCCTCTGAGGCAGTGGTTCTCAACCTTCCTAACGCCATGACCCTTTAATACAGCTCCTCATGTTGTGATGACCCCCCGCAACCATAACATTATTTTTGTTGCTACTTCATAGCTATAATTTTACTACTGTTATGAATCGTAATGTAAATATCTGATAGGCAGAATGCACTTTCATTGTTACAAATTAAACATCATTAAATATAATTAAAGCATAGTGAATAATCACAAAACAATATGCAATTATATATTGTGAAATATTTATGTTTTCAGATGGTTTTAGATGACCCCTGTGAAAAGGTCATTTGACCCCCCAAAGGGGTCGCGACCCACAGGTTGAGAACCGCTTCTCTAAGGCACTTTCCCACTGTATTTCTTATTAGGTCTTCCTTATTCAAAGTCCAATTTCCATAAGCATATGAGGTTATTGAAAATACCATGGCTTGGGTCAGGTGCATCTTAGTCATCCAAGCGATATTTCAACTCTTCAACAATTTCAAGATGTCTTATGCAGCCGATTTACCCAATGCAATGCATCGTTCGATATCTTAACTGCTGCTACCATGAGCATTGGTTGTGGGTACCAGCAAGATGAAATCCTTGACAGCTTCAATCTTTTCTCTGCTTATCATGATATGACCTGGTGGTCCACTTGTGAGGATTTTTGTTTGCATTACAGTACAGTCATCATCCATTTTGAAGGCTGCAATTCTTGCCCTTCATCAGCAAGATCTGCAAGTCCTCCTCCCTTTCAGCAAGCAAGGTTGGGTCATCTGCACAGAGCAGGTTTTTAATAAGTCTTCCTCCAATCCTGCAGCCACATTCTTCTTCATATGGGACAGCTTCTCAGATTATTTACTCAGTACACAAATTAAATAAGTATGGTGCAAGGAAACAATCCCGGGGCACCCCATTCTCAATTTTAAACCATGCAGTATTCCATTGTTCTGTTTGCACTACTGTTTCTGGACGCATGCGTAGGTTCCAAATGAGCACAATGTAATGTACTAGTTATGTAACTGCTACTAATTTGTTATGATCCACACAGTTGAATGCTTTTGGAGAGCCAATGAAACACAAATAAACATCCTTTTGTTTGTTAAAACAGGGAATACTGTTATCCACCAAGACTCATCTAACATCAACAATGATATCTCGTTCCTTGTCAACTGCCAATGTATTGTTGCAAGCTTGTTGAATTATCTTCAGCAAAAATGTACTTTACTGTGCATCAATGATATTGTTCTGTAATGTGTGTATTCTGTAGCGTCATCTTTCTTTGGAATGGGTACAAATATGATTCTCTTCCAGTTAATTGGCCAGAGAGCTGTCTTGGCATAGATGAGTAAGTGCGTCAGTGCTTTATCAGCTGGTTGAAACATTTCAATTGCTATTCCATCAATTTCTGGAGCCTTGTCTTTGGCTAATGCCTTCAGTGTAGCTTGGACTTCTTCCTCTAGTACCATTGGTTCTTTATCATAAAGAACCAATTCTTTATGATAAATAGTCTTCTTAAAATAGTTTAATGGGTACTCATTCTTTATGGTACATTGATATTGTGTATTTTTTCCATCTTCTTTTGATGCTTCCTACATTGTTCAATATTTTTGCCCATAGAATCTTTCAATATTAGAACTCAAGGCTTGAAATTTTTCTTTAGTTATTTCAGTTGAAAATCTGTTGAATTTGTTCTTTTTTTGGTTTTCTAACTCCCAGTCTTTATACCTTTCATTTTAACACTTTGTCTTCACAAGTGTCCCTTTGAAATGATCTGTTCAGCAATTTCTTTTAACTTCATCATTTCTTCCATTTGCTTCAGCTACTCTATAAGTAAGAGCAAGCTTGGGAGCCCTTTCTGACCTCCATGTAGATGTTCTTTTTCTTCCCTGTCTTCTTAATGACTTTTCATTTTCTATATGTATGATGTTCACGATGGCCTCTGACCTTGCATCAGGCCCTCTGTGGTGGCATCAAATATCTTCTGGAGATATTCTTGGCATTCAGCGGGGAGAGACGCAAGGTGAGGTTCGGGTTCTCTTACACTCGTTCCCATTTCTTCCGCTTCAATGTGAACTTACACCTGTAGCCGCTGACAGTGAGTTTCCCCATCATATCTTCTCACAGATCGACTCCATTTGACTGTTCGGTATCCCACGTTGAGAAGTCCACGTGTGTAGTCACTGTTGTGCTATGGAAAACGGTATTTGTGATGAAGACGTGATTAGTCTTGCAAAATTCTATCATGAGATTCCCCAGCCTTGTTTTTATCACCAAGGTCACATTTTCCAACTACAGCTCCTTCCTCTTTGCTTCCAGTGTTTGCGTTCTAATTGCCAATAATCATCCATGGATCTTGATCGCATGTTGGACCAATTCAGACTGAGGACATTAGCAACTATCTTCATCACGAACTTTAGTGGTCGCTGCATACATATCAACAATAGTTGTATTGGCTGGATTTCCTTGTAGGTGAATAGATACTATCCTAGCACGGATAGCACTGAACTTCAAGATAGACCTGAACTGTCCTTTTTGCCTCTGCATACAGCACCATTCCTTTTTAATGTATCACTCCCCGCATAGGAAACCGTATGCTTTTCTGATCGAATGGCCAAGATCAGTTTATTTCACCTCACTCATGATTTCCATTTCATTTCTGGTGACTTCCAATTTTCCTGGGTTCATGCCTCATGCATTCCAAGGACCAATTATTTCGAGATTGTTCTTTTCAGTTTGAGTCATGCGACATCAACAAGTGGAGGCTCATAAGGCTTATTCCATGCATGTCACATCCTCTATTTTGAGGAGGCAGCTCTTCCTCGGTTATACGGTGGGGGCTGTCTGATCTGAAGTGCTAACCCTCTGGTGTACCACCTTTGACAGGGTTCGGTAGCTGTTTGTCAATTTTTGATCTCTGACAATGTTCCACTGCCATTCATAAGGTTTTCAGGGGCTAATTCCTCAGCAGTGGACAGCCTATTCCTTCAGAGTCTCTTCTGGGGAGCCCTGGTGTCATGGTGGTTATGCATTGGGCTGCAGGATCCACATGGTTGGCAGTTCGAAACCACCAGCTACTCTGAGGGGGAAAAAAAGATAGAATTTTCTACTCCCCTAAACAATTACAGTCTCAGAAACTCAAACTGGCAGTTCCACCTTGTCCCATAGGAATTGGCATCAACTCCTGGCAGTTTTTGCGTGTCTTCTTAATCAAGAACTCTGCTGAACGTGTTTAGGTCGGTGACCTTGCTATTATTTAACATTTCAGTGGCATCGCCTCCAATCTCACAGCAACACACAAGCCACCACAATACAACAAACAGACAAGTGGTGGACACATATTTTAGAGAGTGCATATTAAAGTCTGAAGCAACGAGTTTTACTTGAATCTGTGTTCTTTCACCCTGTTCTGCACCACTGGTTTTCTCCATCATGCTCTTTAGAAAATGGAACTCTGTCAATGGTAGCCCCCTGATGAAGAATGTTTCCATCCCAATGCTTAGTGGGGGTTTCAGAAACTAATGAATGCTCTTGACATGTCAATGGTAAGAAAAAGAACAAGGAATTTGCCCTCTAACATTATAGCCACATGAACCACGTACATACATTTCTACATTTCTTCATAGCATAGATTTAGTTCTCACTATGGGCATAAATAAGAAGCAGCAGTTGTGCAAGTAGGGAGGCATCCATTGGTAGGGCAAACCCACCAGCCACCTTTGTGAAAGAAAAATGAAGCTTTCTCTCTCCATCAATGTTTACCGCCTCAGAAACCATATGTAGGGTCACTGTAAGTTAGACGTGACTCAATGGTGGCAGTGGGTGTGATAGGCATTAGTGGACTCTCTGGGCAATGCAAGTGGTTAAATGCTCGATTACTTGCTGCAAGGCTGGCAATTTGAACCCAACAAGAACTGCCTTGGAAGCTGGCATTGTGATTGACCTCCAAAAAATCACAGCCTTAAAGTTCCTCTGGATCTGTTCAACTCAACGCAGGAGTTGGAATTAGCTTGAAGACATGGATGTAAACTATTACAGGATTACCTTAGAGCGCTCCAGAGAAATAGAATACCTGAGAGATAAGTACATCTTGATTGCCAATATTTCATCCTCCAATATTTTGCATTGAGATAATAGTACAAATTACCGACCGTGTGAGTATTTTGTGCAATCACAATATACAGTTGAGAGTACCAAATGCCGGTGTAAAGCAAAAGTGACATTGACTGTGTTAGTTAGGTGTCACCTCGTCCCCGGGGATTGGTAGTGATGTCATGATGCAATTGGCAGTTGTGCAATGATTTAGCCAAGCTCCAATTTGTGGTCTGATGTGGTCATCATCCAGTTTATGCGTAATGGTGATAGTTGTTTAACAACGTAGTCTTTGGGATCTAACTATGTGAAGAGTGGCTGTAAAGATAGAATTCCTTTCTAAGAAATTGATTCACATGATTGTAGGGGCTGGAAATCTATAGTGCAGGTGAGGTCAGGTGGCAGACTAGCAGCCTCTTCAGGCTCCTATCTCAAAAACTCTAGACAACAGGAAGAGTGTGAAGTAGAGGGAACTGAAGTTATTCCAAATATATATTTACAGTCTGAGAGCATATCATGCCCTGAGAAACTCCTTTGTCTCAGAAACAGTCTTTCAATGGATTGGTTTCATTACAGTATGAAATAGCAAGTAATATCGTGTTTGGCTAAACCGCTGCCAACCATAGCATACTCAAGCTGACTCATAATTAACCACCCTACATATTCTAACAATGTATGGTTATATGAATGGCCTCTTGGGCTAAGAGGCTGAGAGTTTATATATTTAATGTCCTCAGGGCAACCACTGATGACCCTTTGGACCCTCGGTAGGTGGCTAACAAGAATGATAACCACAAATGTTGCTTTCTCCTTTTCTCTCCAACTTCCAGCTGTGAAGTTCGGGAGGATGTCCAAGAAGCAGAGGGACAGCCTGTATGCAGAGGTGCAGAAGCACCAGCAGAGGCTGCAGGAGCAGCGGCAACAACAGAGTGGGGAGGCAGAAGCCCTGGCCAGGGTATATAGCAGCAGCATCAGCAACGGCCTGAGCAACCTGAGCAACGAGACTGGAGGCTCGTATGCCAACGGGCACGTCATTGACCTGCCCAAGTCTGAGGGCTATTACAGTGTGGATTCAGGCCAGCCGTCCCCTGATCAGTCAGGACTTGACATGACTGGAATCAAACAGATAAAGCAGGAACCTATCTACGACCTCACATCTGTCCCCAACTTGTTTACTTATAGCTCTTTCAACCACGGGCAGTTAGCGCCAGGGATAACCATGTCTGAAATCGGTGAGTAGAGCTCTCCCCTGAGAGCCCCTTTTTCGATCTGTTGTTTGGATTTTGTTTTGGTCATATTTAGCGTGGTTATTTTCTTAGGTCTAAGATAAATTAATTACTTGCATTCCTAGCTTCTGAGAGACAACTAATTTATTTTAGCATTTCTTCTAGTAAATGTCATTATCCCCCTCACCCCAGGAATGTTTATTTCAAGCCACAGAAGAAAGAACAACTTCTGAATAGAAAGATGCTATCTGTAAAGCACAGATGCTCTCTGTTGAATTTGGGCTCACCACTGAAGGAGGAAATGCTGATATTTTTCAGCAGGACCGTTTCCTCACACATCCAAAGTGATGTGATGGAAAATGGAATCGCTGGCGGTTGTAGGATGGTTGTAGGATGGTTATGGTTAGGGGGTCACACTCTGTCTCAAAGGAAACGTACATAGACTTTGCTTCAACGTCCATCTTTGTTAAGGCAGGTGTAGACCAGAAAACCTCTTGAGGCTCTTCTGAGTCTGAATTCAAATATCCTGCCTGAGAATGCGATCCGAACAGAGTCCGACTGAAGGGCAATGAAAGGGAAGCCCTGGGGGGTCAGTTTATGGCTAAGATGGCATCGACCACCTGACTGCTGCTGGCAGAACTGTCCTCCATTCCCAAGAAGCGGCCTTCAAGAACACGCCCCTCTGCTCTGTCACAGCCTTGTTTTCTCCTATTAAACTCAGGAGTCCAACCAATGCAGAACCCATTAATCTCATTAACAAACGGCTATACCCATAGTGATGTAGCCTGAGCACATTACCCTCCTGGGAAATAGAGTCGCATGCTAACAGCAGCCTGAAGGAGGTGAACAGCAGCAGCTATAGCGGACGTCCCTGTAGTGTTTGTGAGTATTAAGAAGAACAATCTAGAGTTCAGGCACCACCGTGAGACCTTCCCGTAGCCCACCCTCAGAGGCGGTGCCTAACAGAGCGATTAAGAACTAGGCTACTGAAGTTCAATTCCTTTCTTTGTGGTTTATTAACCAAGCTGGGGCAAGATGCTTAATTCCAGTTGACTCATTTTTTACAAAGGGAGAGTTATTTTTCAAGAGGGAAGATCTTAGGGCTTGTGGACAAATTAAGTGAATTAGTAGTTGTAAAATAAAGTGTTTAGCAGGTGACTCATAACTGCTCCCGATGATTATTTGAATCATCACATGGAATCCCACATCAGCTAACAGTAACAAAATCCTAAGTAAAAATACCATGTCCATTTTTCAGACGCAGAAACTAAAATTTAGGTGTGTCACATGGCCTTCCGGAGTTACTGAGTGATAAATAAAATTCAAGCCCCAGCAATTGGACTTGAGAGACCTTTTGCTCCTCTGCCACCTGTGGCCGCCTCTGTTTTTCATCTCCACAAACCACATTGGGAAGATCTTTGTAAATCGAGTCCCCCCATCTTCCCATAAGGCACATTAAAAGAAGCAAGAAAATCACTTTTTTTTTTGCTTTTCTTCTTCATCATCTCCAAGTGACTGAATCTACTATTGATTTGGAACAAGGCATAAATCCAGTAAAACAAAAAATGAAAAGCTGTTGGGCCACCTTCCGCCCCATGCCCACGAAAAAAGTCTGACAAGAATTAGAAGCCACTGTTGCTTTGTGATTCTGAGTAGTAAAAAATATTACAGAACAAGAATTATGCCTAAGCCATCAGCGATCTGATTTACACTGGACACGTCACTTTTCCTGTCTAGCCCTCACTCTGCTCATCCACGGAATGACACGTTTGGAGTAGATGCTCCCAAAAGTCACCCAGAATCTCTACACCGAGACTGACCCCTAAATCGAACTAACATTGACTCCTGCTGGATTGGTCCGGGTGCTTTTCAGACGTAGAGCTCTACCGTTCCAGATTTTAGACGTTTCTGCAGTAGACTTTTTGAGATACAGTTCGATGATCCTGCAAGTGTTCTCCTGTTTAGCCGACTCCTTGTCTTGAATCAGCTCCACAGCACGAGGTTTCATGTTTATTTGCTTGTTTAGTTGTTTGTTTTTGAATCCCCTGATTCTTTGGTACACATTTCGTTAAAACAGCCACGCCATCTAGTGGACACAAATGCATTCTAAATCCCTTGACTCTAAAATGAACACAGAGTGCTTGCTATACAATCTTCCTTTCCATCCAGAAGACGGCCAATTGTTTCATTGAACTACCGCGTCGGAAACACCATCTCTGAGCTGGAAGGCATAAGTGGTATATCTTAAGGGCTAAGGACTTTGGCTCTGTAGGTAGACTTTCTTGGTTGAGAACTTGGCTGTGCCTCTTTTCTTTGGCAATTCATTTTACCTCCCTGAGTCTGTTGAAAGCCATAGTCCCTGCCTGACTGCAGTCTGTGTGTGGCTTAAATCAGTTAATATTGAACAAATCAGTTAATATTCATAAATTCTTAAGACAGTTCCTGTCATGAAAATGTCGCTTCAATAGTAATAAACTAATTTATAATACTATTAATCTCACTATGATTACTTAATATGAGCACTATTACTTATTACAGGTACTACTATTGTTATCTTTTAGCAAACGCCTACATCGTGATGACTAATGTCCTAAACACAACCTCACTGTTATTTAAGTCTCATATAAAAATCTATATTGCCTATTATGAATGCACGTGCACATTTTATAGATGAAAAATTGAGGCTTAGAAAGTTGTATAACTTGCTAAAGGCCAAGGAAGCAGGTGTTCCTGGGCCTGGGCAACTTCAAAGTCCATTTTTTTAACCACTAATCTTTATTTCCTCCCATCAAGCAAAGGGAGCCCCTCACAATTTATTTGGCATTCCCATGGCAAATTCGGCTCCAGCATTTGCCTGCCTGATCATCTTTAGGGTCTACCAACCAGAGCTTACCAAGTTGAAATGCTGCCATTTTGACTTAGCAACATCTCTTGCCGTCTGGTTAATATCATCGCCATGGAAAGAACCCTGCACACACGCACACACGCGCGCACACACACACACACACACACAACAGTAAACTCAACAACCGTGGCAGCCTGATTTCAAGGCTACCTCTCAGCAGATCACTCCGTAGCATCCCTCTCAGCCCGTAGGACTGGTCGGCTTCCTCTGGTTTCTGAGACAGTGAAATGGGTACAACCAGGTCCGTCTCCCGAGATGCAGTCATCTGAAAAGCAAATGGCTCTTCTTAGCCAGTTTTAGATTCGTGCATGAAAAATAAGATCTTACTGTTTTTAAAACTTTAATAAAAATAAATAACTCAAAACGATGCCTAGGAGCTATAACACAGCTGGAGCAGCAGCGGCACCCAACTACCAACGCTTCATGTAGGAAAAGAATTTGACCAGCGGCCGCCCAATCAAGTCCATCTGTTGGTGACACCATCGGAGTCAGAGGCTGCTTGGTCTCCATGGTGTTTGAACCACTGTGATCTTTCCGAAGCAGCTCATTAGGCCTTTCTCCTGAAAATCCTCTGGGAGGACTCGAACCTTCAATCTTTTGGTTAGCATCGAAAGATGTGAATGGTTTATACTACTCAGAATTGCATAGGAAGTTGCTCTTTGCCCATTTGAGCCTTACAATAACGCCTCCAGGTCGCCAGTGAAGAGATCATCCTAGTGTACAGATGAAAGCCATTTCGGGGTCAGAAAGTTATTTTCCTGGAGGACAGTGTTAAGTGGTAAAGCTGAAATTCTACCATAGGTCGTCTCGTTACATCGGGCTGCCTGTCTGTCTTGGAGCACCCCGTTTTTGAAACATGATAGATAGGCACCTAAAGTGTGTAAAAAGTGGTCCCTGGGAGACCTTCATGAGAAGAAATAATTACAAATCAGTGTGTCATGTTTTAAATGCCCTGTGCAAGGTGGGGCCGCAAACTCTCCTCAAAATTGAGGAGGTTCATCGGAGCCATATCTCTTAGCAGGAATCGTTTCTTGCCATTAGCTAGAGCATCAAAGCAAACCCAAAACATGCAACCCTTCAGGAATTGCTTCCGGGGGTTTTCCAACTACCCAAGGAGGCTAGGGGTGCGGGGAGGAGAGGGCAACAATAAGCCAGCCCCACGATTGGTCTGGGCCTGAGCCCATGGCTGCAGCCTCTGTGTCCATCCGTCGCATCGAGGGCCTGCCTCTTGTTCTCTCCCCTTCCACTTTGTTAAGCCTGCTGTCCTGCTCTGGGGGCCGGTCGCCCCTGACAACATGCTGCCTAAATATCACTTTCCAAAGGACGTACAACGTGTTGTCCAAAGTTGGGGCATGCGGCACACACTTTGGAAAGTACTACTTAGGCAGAAGTATGGACTAGATTTTTGGAATCTCGGAGTGGCATAAACCTTTAAGCATCGGACTGCTACTAAGAGGCTGGCCTTTGTAGGACAGCTAGAAACCTCTTGGGAGAGACACCTGGGAACCTACTTCTTTAAACCAGTCACTGAAAACCCGGAGAAGCACCTCTCTATACACGTGTGTTGGCCACGGGCCAGAATGAACGGGCATGAATTAGATTTCGGGGGCGTGGTACTGCAAGATGACAGGATAGATGGGCCATATGTTTGGAGATAAACTCTTGACTAATACTTGTAATGAAACTCACTCAGGCCTCCATGTCTCTGTGCTATACCAGAGCACGGACAATATAGTCAGCCAAACAGCATGCTTTTAACAGAGAAGGGGAAAATTCATCAAATTTCCTCTGATGTGCTAGGGCTCATTTGCTGTTTACACATATCTTCTGAGTTTTGTTCTGTTAGGCCTAAAACAAATCTACTTACATAGTCCTTTTGTGTCCTATTTAAGAAACCAGAAATTGTAAGCATTAGACAGAGGCATAAACCCCTTTTTAAAAAATTCACAAACTTCAGATCTGAGCATTAATGGTTCTATAAGATTACAAAAAGGGGTTGTCCTAAAGTTGATCTGAGTCATGTACCACTTTATTCTAGAAAGTTTATGAAGAAACACAGAAGATGTTGCCAGTACTACTGTATTTTGGAGAATTATAGAAA